ATGGTGACCATGCACGACCTACTTGATGCGCAATGGCTCTATGATGCGACACGAGATGAGTCGTACTTGAGACGTGTTGTTAGGCCATTAGAGTCATTGCTTGTCTCCTACAAACGACTGATGGTGAAAGACTCTGCTGTCAATGCGATTTGCTATGGTGCCAAGCTGATGATTCCAGGTCTGTTACGCTATGATGCGGGGATCGAAATGGAAGAAGAGGTTGTCATCATCACGACCAAGGGCGAAGCCATTGCACTTGGAATTGCACAGATGACAACGGCCGTGATTGCTAGCGTTGACCATGGCATAATTGCCCGGATTAAGCGCGTGATCATGGAACGAGACACGTATCCCAGAAAATGGGGTCTCGGACCCAAAGCTGTGGAAAAGAAGGCAATGATCAAGAGTGGACAGCTGGATAAGCACGGAAGGTCCAACGAAAATACGCCTTCCGCTTGGTCTCAAGGATACGTCGACTTTTTTTCCCCAAAGGAAGACATGGCAGTGGATAAGAATGCCACCGTTTCATCGACACGTATTTCGTTCGTAACCCCAGTCGAAGAAAAGTCTGGCAGTCTGGTCGATAACCAAAATGAAGACATGGATGATGGTCAGAGCAGCGACGAAGACGAAAAGAAACGCGTTAAAAAGGAAAAGAAAGACAAGAAAGAAAAGAAGGAAAAAGAAAAGGACAAAAAGGACAAGAAAAAGAAACGGAGCTCTGACTAGCACCGATCGTCATTAAGCAAGTAATTTTATAAAACAACACTTGAAAGTTAAAGAAAAACTCTTAATTGGTTTATTAGTATATTTAAAATAGGGATAGGGCGGCTGCCCAGTGTCGACCGCACAATGGCGACCAGTAAAGTGAACAGGGGGCGTGGAGGGGGCTATGACAGCGATCTTAGAGGACCACATGTCAGTGTAGCATCTGTAATCGAGAGGCCTTGAATGAAGGCGCACTCAACGGGCTCCATTGCAGTAAGGGACTCGTCAAATGTTTTCTTTCTTGTACGCTTTTCTCGCCGACGCGAGGCAGACTTCAAGCAAAGAAAGTTTGGTTCCATCACGAAACCAATCAAGCCGCTAGTTGATGATGATGCACATGCATCTCTGAGTTCATCCAGTCGCTGCTCGACGAGATACAGCAGATACTCTTCCGTGAGAAGCCGCACCGTTTCAAAAAGTGACAGCGGCGTGGTGGAGGCAGCCGGGGCCGGCTGTGCAACAACCACTTCAGAGGCCCCATCACCCACAGGCGTGGCGGCCTCGCATGCGCCTTGGTCAAAATGAAGATATTCAGCAAGGATTTCCTCATCCCTAGCACAGGAGCCTTCTACCTTTTTGTGATCTCTGGTGGCAAAAAGTTGGTCCATAAAAATGGCGATCACAAACGACCACTGGATGAGCAGGTTCTGTAAATGTCGCTGCATTCTTTCCAGCTCTCCATACGATATCGGACCGATGTTGGGAAGAGCCCCGTTTTTCCGTTTGGCAGCCGCATCTAGATGGCGGCAATTTTCCTCCCCTTCGCGGGTATCCTCGCTGGCCTCGTAATCAACGCAACTATCAAGAAAAGATGCCCAAGCGTCCCAGTCAAGCTGGTCATCCCCAAAAATGAGCTCCATTGACGTAATAAATTGCGCAAGGATTTCTTCCGGAATAAAGGAAGCATCCATCTCATCAATAGATCGTGAGAAAGACGCAGAGAGCGACGGGTCTGTACCTAAAGCAAAAGCTTGTGCTCGTAAGCCGCAGTCCCGCTCATGAGAAACGTGGCGCTGCAATTCGCTTGCTGCCTCGCGCACGGCGGCACGAGCCAGCCGCCTAAGCTCCGCAGAGCCTGGAGCCGACAGACTAGCTGAAGGCGATCGATTCGTGCAGGCACTTGAAGAGAAATCACATTTGGTGGCAGCAGTTCCAATTACGACGCCATTGGCGCTGCGCAAGGTAGTGGCAAGTGAGTGCAGAGAGACGCGTTTAAGCAGCATCATGGAGAGCTTCTTGAAAAATTCGAGCTTCACCACCAGCAACTTGGATGGAAGTGTGGCCGGGGTATGCCATGGCTGGCCTGTTGGCCAGCCATTGACGTCAAACTGGACATTTTCCAGGTCTCGAGCGCTGAAATATCCTTTGACAAGCATCGTGATCAGTCCAGGTAATGTCTTGGTGCAAAAGAGACGGACATTTTCTAGTTGTGCCTGAGTAATGCCATTGGTCCAAAACGAAGCAAGAAAACATTCCTGGATGACAGCGAGGGAGGTAGCATCGAATCTTTGTATCATTGAAAGGATGCTCTGATAAAGTCGCGTTCCTGGAGATCGATTTTCGCTCTTTTGAGAAGGAAAAAAACAAGAAATTTCGGACACCGAGTTCGTTTGGTTTGCATTGGAAGCCTGAAATTCTGGAAAGCTCTTAGGGAACACGCCAAGCCAATAGAGTGTAAATTCCTCTTCAAATTGCAGATACTCTTCGCGTAAAATTAGGGAAAGCAGCAAGGTAGTATGATGCTGCAGGCCAAGTCTGAAAAGGTCACCGTGCTCAATGGGAAGCGCGTCTGGTGCAGCCATGTGCAACCTCGCGGCAAACCGATCAATGGATGGCGGATTAGCTGTAACGCAGGAGAGGCCGCCGGTGGCCAAGCTGTAGATGGTAACTGGTGACGAAGTCTGTCGATTCCGTGACGGCCGGATGGTAAAGTGCGATTTGATAGAGTGGGGAATTGAGTCCACAGTCTCTACAGTGCCAGTCCCCGCTCCATATGACGAGGAGCCAAAGCCGGTATTGGGGACCGGACTTGAAAGTGCTGGAGCCGCTTCTGCAGTCGACATGGGTGCCTTCATCCTGATCCCGTAATAATGATACTTGGAGTGGCCGCGCGTACCAAGACGCCGCGTGCGCAAGTTTGGAAACACAGAGCGGATAATCTTACCAAAAGAGGCAGCATTGACTGGCTCGATGGAATCGGCAACGCACGATTCATAATAGTGTGTGTACAGCAACGAACGAGGCATGGAAACACCTTCAGATGACTCAAAGTGCGATTGGAGCCAAAGAACGACATAGGGTGACTTTCCCTTGATGGCTGTCATTGAGGATATGGGGGCACCTTGCTCACTACCGTATTGATGGTGGTGCCAAGTAGGACCACCAGATGGGGTAACATAGTCCACAATCATGTTGTGACCGTTACCGGTGTGGCCCATCATGCCGAAAGATGGTGGCGCAGAGAGACACTCAAAGGGGGCTGTTGAAAAAGATGTGGATGATAATGAAATATATTCAGGCGAGCCGATGAACTCTGTTTGCGAGCCGCCAAAGTCTATAGACGTGGAGAGCGGAAAATCCACCGATGTAGATTCACCATAATCGGGCGTATCAAGAGTGGATGTGGAGTATTCTGCAGAGGAGAAGTAATGATTAGACGAGAGGAGTGCTGCAGTCTGCTCGTGCGAAATGCTTGCCGTTGAGGTGGGCGCCATCAGCGAAAGCGCAGTGCCAGGCTGCGCAAAGGGGGCTTGAAAGTCGGAGGGGAATGCAAAATTAGATAACGGGGCAGAAGATGTGAAACTTGTGCGTGGAGAGTGAGTCAGGAATGCAGAGTGAAAATTTGTATGAAATGACGAGTGAGCTGATGGGGGCGAGTTTATAATGATATCAGCAGCGCCGAAAATCTTTAAGGAAATGGCCTCTTGATCTTCTTGGATATAATCAGAGGTCATCATTTGGATGAGCTGGCTCGAAGATGGGTTGATGATGATGTGAGGCTGATGATGGTGGCGGCCCTGGACACCAATGGCCTATATATGTTTGATGGTGACGAGATCGGCATGTTTAGATAGCATGCCAATAGGTGGAGTGATTATGGTGATTGCGATGATGTTTCGATGATGAGGTATGCGGTATAAACAGAGCGTGATGGGGCTCGCTGATAAGAGCACGATTCGCTGGTGACCATCATCAACAATAAATTAGCAATAATTAAAAATTACTTTGGGGCCCAATGCGTGGCGGACTGTTCAACAAAGTGCCGTTCGATTGGCATTTTAAAGTTGAACCGCGTTCATTTAAAGTCGAGCCGCGTTGATTTAAAGTCGAGCCAATCCTCGTTTAAAGTCGAGCCAACCCTCGTTTAAAGTTAAAATCGAGCCAACCCTTGTTTAAAGGTTTGGCGGGAAATGCACAAATTACGGCGCCATTGAACACCATAGTGTATAAGGACACACTATAAATTGTGCCATTGATTAGTAAGACTATTAAACTATGGCAAAATCAAGCAGCACAAGCGCTACCGCATCGCAAACCAAGCCAGCAGCATCAACAAAAAAAGTTTCCGCCGTAAACAGCAAAGGTTTCGTCATATTCGTTTTACGTTGCAGTAAAAAAGTCCTCCACCTCCAAGGATGCTTCCGCAAAGAAAATCACGCCGTACACCAGCTTCATGTCCACAGAGTTGCCAAAGGTGAAAAAAGCAAACTCTGCAATCAGCCATAAAGATGCCTTCAAGCTCGCTGCGCAGAATGTATGCATGGTTTTTGCTTATTTTTACATTAGTGGGCCACATCGCCCCTCAACCCTAAGAACGGCGGAAAGGCTCGCTGACAGCGCCATGTACAGGAGATCTGCTTTTTACATAAATATATCACACGACTGCGCACCACAATTTTGTCAATTACAGCTCCAATATGGGCCGATCAGCAGGGCTTTATTGGCGGCTTACTGATAGGCAAGAACTATGAACCAGGCTGGCGTTGCACGTTGCAAGCTATTTCGCCAGCAAGGATGCAGAACTGTGTAGCCTCCGTCAATCAATGCCACAAGAAAATATGGAGACGTGGCAGTTCGCGTGATATTCTGAATTTATTTGGCCGGTACGCTCCTGCCCCTAGCTGGGATGGGTGCGTAACGTGTGCATGTAGCGAATTTCAGCATGTTTGTGCCATTTAAATTTTAATTTGGTTTAATTTAAAAAAATATCGCGCACTACTTTTTGCATTTCCATGACCGTTCCTGTGCTCCCCTCAGGTCCCTCTACCAGCGTGCTCACAGACAACATCACTGGGGCAAATCACAACTTCAAGCGTATCCAAGTTGTGCCCTCCAGTACAGACTTTCTCGATATTGTGCTCAGTAAAACGCAGCGCAAAACACCCACCGTCGTGCACAAGGGCTATCAAATCTCGCGCATTCGCTCCTTCTACATGCGCAAGGTCAAATACACACAAAGCACATTTGAAGAGCGGCTTCAGCAAATCACAACCGAATTTCCGAAAATCGAAGAGGTGCATCCATTCTACGGCGACCTGATGAATGTGCTCTACGACCGCGACCATTATAAGCTGGCGCTGGGCCAAGTAGCTACGGCGCGGCATTTGGTGGAGCAAATTAGCAAAGAATATCTAAAGCTGCTCAAGTTTGGCGATTCACTTTACCGTTGCAAGTAGCTCAAACGTGCTGCTCTTGGGCGCATGGCCACCGTCATGCGCCGCCAGCGTGACGCGTTGACATACCTGGAACAGGTGCGCCAGCATCTTGCGAGGCTGCCGTCCATCGATCCGGCATCACGCACGCTACTTATCTGCGGCTTCCCAAACGTGGGCAAGAGCTCATTCATGAACAAGGTCTCACGGGCAATGGTCGACGTGCAACCATATGCCTTTACAACCAAATCCCTTTTCGTGGGTCACTTTGACTACGAATATGCGCGGTGGCAGGTCATCGACACACCAGGGATTCTAGATCACGCACTTGACGAGCGTAATACGATCGAGATGCAGTCCATCACGGCATTGGCACACATCAGAGCGACGGTGCTCTTTTTTATGGATCTCTCTGAACGCTGTGGTTATACGATAGAACAGCAGCTGTCCCTGTTTAAGTCTCTGCAACCGCTCTTCCGAAGCAGGCCCGTCGTATTGGTGGTCAGTAAGTGCGATTTGGTCCGCGTAAGTGACCTCTCACCAGAAGTGGCTGCACAATTAAAAGCAGCCACAGGCAGTGTGCCCATTGTAGAATGTTCACAAATGACCTCTGAAGGCGTTATGGCTGTACGCAATGTCGCCTGTGATTTGTTGCTGGCCCAACGCAATGTTCAGGGCGCAGAAGGCGGCATCACATCAAGTGCAAATGGAATTCTGGCACGCTTGCATGTGGCCAAACCAGTTGCACGAGATAATATCAATCGGCCGCCATTGCTGCCACAAGGCATTGTGGTGCCTTCTACAGAACCTCTTTTACGCGAGATAGAGCTAGCAAATGGCGGCCCAGGAATCTTTTCCTATCCAGCGTCTATGCACCATCTGAAGGCAGACTGGAAAGAAAGACCGATTCCAGAAATTCTCAACGGCAAGAACATTGCAGATTTCATTGATGCAGACATTGAAGCGCAACTGGAAGCTTTAGAGGCAGAGGAAGAACAGCACGAAATGATGACCGCAGACGATCGCTCTGCACGTGTCGAGCGGCGCAACAGAGTGCATGCTATTCGTGCTGTGCGAAGACACGAAACTGAACGGCGTACACTGACCCGTCTTGATTCGCGCTCACGAAAATCCAATGCCAATCGTCCTAGACCACGAACGCGTATCTCTGCACTGGGAACGGAGGCTTCTGCCATTGAGCGTCCAATTAGTGCTAAAAGATCGGCATCTATTTCAAGCAGCAGGTCATTGAGTATGCATCCGATGTCGGAACGCTCACGCTCTCGTGTACAAGGCCGCGAAATGAAGGGCCACAGCACAGAAAAGGGCCATGCTACGTCATCATCGCTCGTGTCTCTCTCACAGCGCCATCGCAACCGCATGGGTCGTGCCGGTGATGCTGATCGCCATGTCACGGCCTCAATACCCAAGCACTTGTTCGCAGGAAAGCGGCGCAATGGCACTCACGATCGCCGTTAAGCTAAATTAAATGATGTAGCCTTTGCATAAATCCATCCCAGTTGTTGCTTTTCATTTTCAGGTGTACACCACGGAAGGGATGCTCCACAATTTTAGTTTTAGCGCTCCAGGTTAATGGCGCCACGGAACTTGGCATACAGCAGTGTTTTAAGAGCCGAAGCCTCGCTAGCGAGCGCGCTGTGGTATCGCCGTAGCTCGTCGCATTTGCTAGAATGGTCGTTAAGCCGCTCAGAAAGCATGGCCAATGCCTCTCCCGGCGGTAAGTACGCAAAGCCATCACCAATCTTGATGCGAATGTGCGATGGCTCCTCAAGCTCTGCAAAGACTTCGGCCTCGGAAAGGGCATCTGCGGTTGCCTCGCGCTGCGCCTAAAGCAATAAAGGTGTCCATCTAGCTACCTGTGCCTCAGCAAGTCGCGGTTCATAGATGCTTAAAGTCTCACTTAGCCGGCTGAACGTGTTCAGCTGGGCCTGGTCTTCTGCGGTAACACTCGGCTCATCCATCAGGTATCAACGATTGGCAAATTTATAAACGGCCAAGTATAAATGGAGTGGGGGGGGTCCCTTTTAAATTGTGGTAGCCTTAATTTGGTCAACTGCAATTGTTGATTTAAATTCCAATGATGAGCTCTGCAGCCGTCGAGCGCAGACGGGAGGCGCCTCCGGTGCCCTCGTTTTCGGGTAGAGCTATGCCACGTGGCCAGTCATCACAGAACACACCAACTTTTGCTGTCGATGAGCGCGAACAAGAGCGCGTCCAACTTTTTGGCGAGTTTCTCGACTCACAGGTATGTACGCAATGGCGTTGGCAATCTTATTTCCATTGACACACCTTTTATTGATCGTTGGTGGTTGTCTTTCTGCCCCTCCTTGACGGCCATTTTATTGGCTGTTGGTGGCTTTGGCCTGTTTGCAATCTATTTATTTTGCGTGTGCTTCGTTTTTTATTCTCTTTCTTTTTAGCAATGCGCAACGGATGCGTTGGAGTACAAAGAAAAAGTGCGAATGATGGTGCGGCGGGCTGAGACGCGTCTGATCGTCAACATTAATGATGTGCGTCTTTTCAATGAGGGACTTTCGCGGGGGTACGTGCCTTTTCTGATCGTAGGTTGTTGATGACACCGTTAGAATATCTGCCCTCCTTCGAGACAGCTTTACGTCGGATGGTCGATAACTTGCTTGTAGTGGAGCCATTTGGCGGCAGTGATGGCGAAAAAGATGCTACGGTAAAGCTAAGCTTTCGCATTGGTCTTGATGGCGCTTTTGGCGATTTCCAGACCAATCCACGCGAGCTTAGTGCATCCACACTTTCGCAAATGGTTTCCGTTGATGGCATCGTGACGTCTTGTTTTCTGGTGCGTCCAAAGCTTGTGCGTTCAATCCATTATGTAGAGGAGCGTCGCACATTCATTTCTCGCGAATATCGTGACGCGCTTATGGGCAGTGGCCCGCCAGTCACGTCTTCATATCCGCAACAGGTATGAGCATCATAACACCGACTGTAGGATGCAGAGGGGAACCGTTTGAGCACAGAATTTGGCCTCTGCACTTATCGCGACCAACAGCGGATCGTACTGCAAGAGATGCCGGAACGCGCGCCGCCGGGACAACTGCCTCGTGCCGTGGAAATCATCCTGGGCGAAGATCTGGTTGACAAGGCCAAGCCCGGTGACCGCGTGCGTATTGTAGGCATTTATAAAGGCCTTGCTACCAGTGCTGCTGGAAGTGCACCTGCCTTTTTTCGTGGAATTTTGGTGGCAAATGCGGTGCGTCAGTTGGGCCGAGAAGCAAACATGCCTGTGCTTACAGACCTGGATATCCAGCAAATCAAGGCCGTGTCACAGCGTCCAGATCTCTTCACGCTATTGGCCCGGTCTCTAGCCCCCTCAATATGGGGACATGCTGCCATCAAAAAGGCAATTCTTTTAATGTTGCTCGGTGGCGTGGAGAAGATTGTTGACCAGACACACATTCGCGGGTAAGCGCCGTGTTCTTTAATTTTCTCTAGAGATATCAACTTGTTGATGGTGGGCGACCCCTCAACGGCAAAATCGCAGCTGTTGCGCTTCGTGCTGGCCATTGCGCCATTGGCGGTGGCGACTACAGGTCGCGGTTCCACAGGTGTAGGGCTGACCGCTGCTGTGGCTGTCGATCGGGAAACAGGCGAGCGGAGGCTGGAGGCTGGAGCCATGGTTCTGGCAGACCGCGGTGTCGTCTGCATCGACGAGTTTGACAAGATGAGCGAGGGCGATCGTGTGGCTATTCACGAAGTTATGGAGCAACAAACGGTAACAATTGCCAAGGCAGGGATCCATCTCTCACTCAATGCGCGGTGCAGTGTAATTGCTGCGGCAAATCCAATATTTTCACAATACCGTGAACACGCAAGCCCGCGGGAAAATATCCGGCTGCCGGATTCCCTGTTGTCACGCTTTGATCTGCTCTTCATTGTGCTTGACCGGATGAATGAGAAGACGGATCGGATGCTTGCGGAACATGTCCTCGCAATGCACTCGCGTGTGGACACCACCAATTCCGAAGATGCTGCTGGGAATTCTGTTGACGATGCCGTTTTTGCCACTCATCGCTATGCCGCCACAAGCTATGACCATGATGTTGCCAATGCGGACATGGATACCGGCAATGATGATGCAGCTGCCAGCGGCGACTCTGACCTGTTGACGCTCTCGTTCATACGCAAGTACATCCACTATGCCAAGGTCCGTATGCGGCCGGTGCTAAGCTCAGGCGCCATGGAGGCCATCAAAGCGATGTATCTTGCGTTTCGCGCCAAAAGTGAACAATCTGGCCGCGATCAGGCTAGGACAATGCCGGTAACGCCGAGAACGCTAGAGACGCTCATTAGGCTTTCCACGGCACATGCTAAGGCACGGCTTAGCAGCATAGTCGAGGAGGTCGATACGTTGGTGGCCGAAGAACTTGTGCGCTTTTCCCTCTACAAAGAGGTCATACCCAAATGCGCTCGTCGGCCAAAGAAAACCAAACCAATCTCGCAGGCAGGCCCCGAAGATGAAGATCAAGAAGCCCAAGGAGAGTCTAATCACAGCCACACAGACAACAACAGTGAAATCAAACAGCACAGTGATGGCGATGACGGGGATACATTTGGGTTTACCGAGGAGCCCCCCTCAAGTGTGGCGATGTCTTTGGCGCAAGCGTCGGAGGATGGACCATCTACAAACATCCAGCCAACTGATGCGCAAATATTGACCATCAAGAGCGCGTTGCTACGTGTGCGCGCTCAAAACGACTCGTTTGTAATGCTCGACGCCCTTATTGAGGAGCTCCATTCAGACGGGGTGGAACTGCCTCCCGGAACGGTCTCCGTTGTCCTCCAGCAGATGGAAACAGCCAATCAGCTCATGTTCCGAGATGGAATCATTTTTTTCATATAAGAGCTTGCCCTCTATCAGGATATCGTTAATTTACCAGTAAATGTTTTTGTTGCTACAATAATCCATTCATGATGCAAGTGATTGGAAAATTTATTGAAACCGGAGTTTTTCATCGAGCCAGCAACCTTCCAATAAAAAGGGCCGCTGCAACTTTGTATGCAAGCCCTTGCTTTGGAAATAAGCGTATCAAAATTATTGTTTTAGGACATGGAGGCGTTAAGACAGTAGCATTAGCCGATTTTTGCAGAGGCATTAATAAAGCCAAAAATTGGGGGTCGGTGTCCGCTTTAACATTGGAGATCGATGATCTAGAAATAATTGGCCAATGTTTTATCGCACACTGTCCAGCTGATTATCGTCTGAAGCAAAGTTGAGATGTAGATTAGCTAAATAGCCCTGGTTAATGCATGCAAGCAAAACACTATGACCAGCTGGAACAAAATTTAATAAATGGCATCCATTGGCCAGGTTATTTTACAGCCTGCAGGCAAATCCAAAAAGATCGCGTACAAAAAAGAAATCTAAATCGCACTGGCTGGCGTTTGATAAATTAATATCAATTGACAAATTATGTGAAACTTTGGCTCCGGGGTGTAAAATTTTAAATTTAATTGGCTTTCCTGGCAAATGCTGGATCATCTATTGGCAAAAGGAGTGTCCACAATCGGAAAGGATAGGTGCCAAAATAACTAAGATTTGCAGCATCTGGTATTGTTGCAGGCAAGCGAAATTCTCCTCACAGCGGCTGCTTTTCGGACAACACGTTTAGGATCCGATAATAAATTGTCAATGTGCCGATCATTTGTTATCCGTTGGATCAATGCCAAACGCACCCATACACATGGATGTTTGAGCAGTCTTAAAAGCAGCTCATCGCCAATTGGAGCGGCATCTAGTGCCAGAAATCTTAGCCATTCACAGGTATCTTGTGATTGCGGAATAGAGGGAACTCTATCACATGATGAGGCCGGGTTTCCATTGCAACAACCACTACGGCCAAATTTAAAGTCCTCCTTTAAAGAATTCAGGTCATTTAGGATGGGATCTTTGGCAGCATCAGATGGTAAAAAAGAGGAAAGGGATTGAATGGATAGCATATATGAATAAAGCGAGGGCGATAGCTTGGATAAAAGTCTAGTTTCAATTAAAGTTCGTAATACCACTTTGGAATTTCCGGTCTGCCTAATCAGTGCTTCAAAAGCAACCGCTTGAATATTCGATATCTTTTGACTGTCATAAAAGTGGTATTGCAAACGTTGCAATGCTTGAACAGCTGCAGAGATAAAAGGCAAATTCTGCAGGTCTCCGGTAAATTTAAGATGGCCGTCGAGGCGTTTACAAAAGCTTTTGAGGGCATCAGCGGGTAGTTTGTCTGAAATGCACGAAAGGAACGAACGGAATGTTGGAGAAAGCGGATCTATCACAATTTTATCGAGAATTTCATCATCAACTGCGTCGAGTTCAAACATAGCGAGAACAATGGAATCATCCTCTGCGACCGTGCTATCATTACCATTTTCAAGGAAAATGGAACGAGCCAATAATGAGAGAGCATTTTTGGCCTCCAGCAATAGCCAGGGGGCCG